CACAATCTGCGGTGGTCTCCTGCCACCCTAACAAGATAACGCCCTGGGCGGTTGCCCATATCGTCCATGTCAGAAACCACGGCTGTCTGCTGCGTTAAACAGAGCAATTAAGACACCTAATGGTAAACGACACTCAACTATGAGCAACAGGCGCTCGCTGTAACATCTGCCACCATGACAGGCAACCAAAACAGAGCAATGAGCTCTGCTGCTCTTCTTGTGTTTTATTTATTTGTGTAACAGAGTTACAAATGTGCTTTATTAATTATTATTTCTAATTCATGTTCTATTGAGTATTTGATCTCATTTAGTTATTTTTATTTGCTGTTTTGTTACAGCGTCCTGCGCTGCTGACGGTGAGACAGGGGAAAGTTTGCTGCTGCGATGTTTTCTGTGAGGAAGTGGTCGTTTATGGTCTCAGGCACATTTTGTTAATTACTGTTTGTTACTGTGTTGTGTAGCAGTTTTTAGCTATTCTGACCGTTATTGTGGATTTGTTGTGTAACCTGGTTGTATTTATCTTTTTTTATAATTACACAAAATGTCTTTTTTTGGGTTATTTGTGTTCCTTACCTGACTGAAACGCCTCTATAAAACTGTCATTGTTTTAACCTGTTACTTTAAAATTGGAAGCCCCTCCTTTTTATTTCTTCTTCTGTGGTATTGTCTTTAAATTATTTGCACCCCTTAGACCCTCCCCTTTTGTCATGTTGTCCTGCAGGAGAGGTGTGTGCAGTTTATTTTTCATAAATATATTCAGTTTATTTTTAAATCTATTAACTTAATTTTTGTTATGTACTTTTGTTTTGTGTAGGACTTGGAGTGGGCGGCCTTTAACACGGTTGTTTTCTGTTTGCTCTCGTCAGAATAAATCGAGAAACCATCCAGTTTTGAAGACAAACTGTCACAGCCTGATCGATCAATAAAACCAGCACAACGCAGAAAGGATCCAGTTACAATTGGACAGTTTTATTGACAGTTTTCTTTAATGTCCCCCAGTCTGTGCTGTCCAGCACAGATCAACACTTTTTATTTTCATGTTTAGGGCTGAAGTGATTCATTTGTTTTTAATCTTCTCCCCAGAATAAATGGTCCAATCATACAGTCTGGCTGAATGATTTCCACGACCCGTTACATTCGCTGATTAAATATATGACAGTTTAATATGTATCATGACATTATGGAAAATAATGAGCTTTATCACAATATTCTAATTTTATGACCAGCACCTGTATATGTAACAGGTCAGTCAACACTTCCGCACAATAATTCAGGGCAGCGAGCAACAACATGTTTTCATAGCAAATGCAATTTGTCCCTGTACAGTTAGCTTTGCTAATATCACTTCCAAAGACCTTACCTTTCTTTGAGCTTCTTTTCTAAGTGACAATAAAAGCTAGATGTCTGTCACCATACATGTCACCATATCTGATGATTTATTTTATGAATTCTGTTACTGATGATTAGACAGACATCTTCGCTCAGAGGAAACCACTGCGCCTATCTTGGAGCTCCGTATGTGAGTGAAAGGGAGAGGCGATGGGTAACAACAGATACACATAATTAGTAAGTCACATTATTGGCACCACGTTAAATCCCTGATCTTTACATTTTAATGAACAAATCAAAAAGCGCAATGCAACCTGGATGTAATGAGTAGCGCAACAGCTTTATAGAAATGTAGTGAAGTAAAAAGTACAGATACTTACTGTAAAATATAGTGAAGTAAAAGTCGAAAGTATCCACAATTAAATGTACTTCAGTACAGATACATGAAAATTTTACTTAAGTACAGTAATGAAGTACTTGTACGTTTTTTTTTACCATACTGTACTGTAATTGTTTTTAACAGTACTGTAAAGAACAATTTTCTTCATGGTTGTATTAATGATTGAATTAATGTTTGAATTTATTCATTAAATTTTGTCCCGCTTGACCCTCCATACTAAAAACCTAGCTGGCAAAGTCTTTCAGTCCGTCCGCTAGGGGGTGGTGCAGCGCATCTTAATTAGCTGTTACAGCAGAAGAAGTAGGAACAGGAAGTGGTTGTCACCTCCGGCTTGGAAGCAAAGCTGAGGTTCGGACTCGGACGGATCCAGCGGTTTCGGCTACAGGAACATGGACGTGGAGGATGAGAGCATCCTGGTGTCCGTCTTCAAGGACAGCTTCCCGGACAGCTGGAGGGACAACCCGGACTTCTCGGCCTACCTGTCCGAGCTCAGCGCCTGTGGCCTGGAGAAGCTGAGCCGGGAGCCGGAGCGGCTGGCCGAGGAGCGGAACCAGATCCTGCAGCAGACCCGGGAGCTGGCCTTCTCCAACTACCAGACCTTCATCCGAACCGCGGACTGTACCGAGCACATCTACCGGGATTTCGGCCGGGTGGAGGGCAGCGTGTCCCGGCTGCTGGACAAGCTTCCCCGGTTCGGAGAGAGGTGCAGGTCGGTATCGGTCCGGGTGGAGGCCGATCCACTGTTTGTTGCTTTAGACCCAGTCTTGGTTCTGTAGAACCTTTAATCTGTGAAAACGCTAAATATATTGACCAGGTTTACTGCGGTCCAGTTCCAGAGACGGAACCATTCAATGCCTGAATTTATCCTCCTTTCTAAGACACGTTTTGACTTTTAGCTGTAAATGTAGCGGTGATGCCGATTAGATCCACCAGGCAGCGCAGGAATAGACCAGACTGTAATTTGTAAAGTTTGAGAATTCAGAATGACCTGGACCTGAAACATCCAGATCATCCGAGGGGCAGCAGCGCTTCCGGAGTAGGAACCTTCCAGACTGACCAGTGTTTCCTCAGGACCTTCATGACGGAAGCGGAGGAGATCGCCGTCAGCCGGCGGATGAACAGCCTGACTCTGAACCGGCACACGGAGATCCTGGAGATCCTGGAGATCCCGCAGCTGATGGACACCTGCGTCCGCAACGGCTACTATGAGGAGGCGCTGGAGCTGGCTGCCTACGTCCGCCGGCTGGAGAGGAAGCACGCCGCACTACCTGTGATCCAGGTGAGAATGGGCTGTGGACGGCAGGCCTGCTGGGACACGTCTCCATCATTGATGGACGCGTGTCCTCCAGCAGGTTTGATGTTGCGGTGTCTCCTGCAGGACATCGTGCGGGACGTGCGGCAGGCGGCGCAGCTGATGCTGAACCAGCTGCTGCAGCAGCTGCGCTCCAACGCACAGCTGCCCGTGTGCCTGCGCGTGATTGGCTACCTACGGCGGATGGACGTGTTCACGGAGGCGGAGCTCCGAGTGAAGTTCCTGCAGGCGCGCGGCGGCTGGCTGAGCTCCGTGCTGGACGGCGTCCCCGATGACGATCCTTATATTCACATCACCAAGACGGTGGAGGCGTGCCGGGTCCACCTGTTCGACATCATCACGCAGTACCGCGCCATCTTCTCTGACGACGACCCGCTGGCGGCCCCCGTGGGGCCCCCGGGCGCCCAGGGCGAGGCAGCCATCTTCCACGGCTGGGTGGCGCAGAGGGTGGCGGAGTTCCTGATGACGCTGGAGAGGGACCTGCGGCGCGGCGTGGGGCCCCGGCTGGACTCGCTGCTGGGCCAGTGCATGTACTTCGGCCTGTCGTTCAGCAGGGTGGGGGCCGACTTCCGGGGCCAGCTGGCGCCGCTCTTCCAGCAGGTGGCGTTGGAGGCCTTCCAGGCGGCGCTGCAGGAAGCGGCGGGCCGCTTCCAGGAGGACATGAACCGCTACACGCTGGTGGCCCTGCCAGTGGCGCTGGGGGGCGCCCTGGCCCCTGCGGCCCCCGGCATACAGCCTGGTACCCTGCAGCCCCCCACCGCCCTGCTGGACTTCCCGCCGCTGGCCTGCTTCCTCAACCACATCCTGAGCGCCTTCAATGACCTGCGGCTCTGCTGCCCCCTGGGGGCGGCCCAAGACGTCAGCCGCAGCCTGGAGGACGTCCTGAGGACGGTGAGTGTGAAGGTGGCTTATTGTGTGCCCCCTTCACACAATAAGCTACGCCCCTTCCAAAATCAAAATTAGATAAAATGATTAATGGTTTCTCACTGGATAATCAAAGTTCTTTCATCTTTTTGGATGCCATATTTTCACATTAACTTAAAAAGTCATTTATTGCTTTCTATTTTTACTGCCAGTTTTGGCAGGATGGGTGCTCCATACATTTTGTCACTTTTTGATTTTCCTCTGCTGCTGAATGAAACTTGGTTTCTGCGTCGTCCCAGTCTGCATTTTGATTAGTTTAAAGATAAAAGCATTCAATCAGCCACTGTCTGTTTGCTTTGGTTCTGTTGGGTCCTGGTTCTGACCCGTCTCCCCCTGCAGGTGACACGTATCATTGTGGCATTCCACCGGGCTGAGCAGTCGGCCTTCAGCAGCAGAGAGGAGGATTTGTTTGTCCAGTTCTGCTCGTCGTTTGCTGATGACCTTTTGCCCTTCCTTACCCGCTGCCTGCAGGTTCTGTTCCCTCCGGCCCAGTTGGCGCTGGTTCTGGGTGAGCGAGTGGCCTGCAGCATCACTGTTTGCAGTGAGAACCTGGAGGAAGTGTTGTGGGTTCTGATCCAGGTGTCTCCCTTTCTCTCCAGGCGTTCCTGCGTCTCAGCTGCACAGGTACGGCGGTCTGGGCCGCATCGACGTCTCTGCCATCCTGCAGCCTCTGGACTTCATTCTCCCTCAGAAGGAACCAGAACCAGAACCAGAACTGCTGCTGCCAGAGGCCAACATCCTGGCAGAGCAGGGCTCGCTCACGCAGCCGGAACAAGAACCGGAACCTTCTCAGCCGGGCCGCACAGAGACCGCAGCAGAACTGGGGACTGACACAGAGTGACGGGCCAGAACCAGAACCTCAGCAGGGTTCTGATGGACTTGCAGAATCATTGTGGGTGACGGGATCTTGAAGACGTGCAGCTGTACCAGACCGTCAGAACCGAACTTTCTGGGTCTGTTCATTAAAACATCAGTTTTAATCTTGTTGTGTTTTACAAACACTGCCACCTGGTGGCCAAACAGCAGAACTACACAGAAGCTTCAAACTAGATTTAATAGTAATAATAATAAAAATAACAAAGCATTTATTTAGCCAGGGAGGTTCTGATCCAAGAACTGAAACGGGTTCTAGAAAAGTCCGACAAGTGAACCCAGATGTTCAAGTTTAGTTCAGAGTTTTGAAAATATGAGCAGAACGCAAAGTGAAAAATTAATTTCATGATCTGAAACCAAAGTCCAGAACCGAGCGGACCTGGTTCCATCACTTCTTCTTGAGGAACTTCCTGCGGGCGGCGTTAGGGTTGGCTCGCCTGCGGCCGGCGCCGCTCTGCCCGTCGCGGATCTGCAGGTTGGCGGCGCGGCTGTAGATGTCATTCTGGCAGAACGGCGACGCTCCGGCCACGTAGTCCGGGTCGAACACGTCCGTCTTCTGCCGGGCCTTCCTGGAGAGACGCTGCTGCGGGAAGCGCTGGTCCTCCACCAGGTGGGGGTTGGCGGCGTGCTTCCCGCCGCGAGGCAGCGGCAGCGAGTGCTGCGGACAGGACGCACAATCGGGGTTAGCAGGCTGCTTCCTGTCTGAGGAAAGTTCTACCAGAACCAGCTGTGGAACCACATCTGGACCTCCTGAAGGAACAACACTCCCACAGGAAGTGTCCAACGTTCCCAACCAGCTGGCTCAGTCTTCCAGACCTTAGAACCAGAACCACTGGTTTGAATCAGCTGGCAGAACTGTGGGTACTGGTCTAGATGGCTCTGTTTAGGCCTCTGTGGTTCTGGTTCTGGCCCAACTAGTTTAACAGCTTCAACTGCACTCCTAATTTAACCTTTAGCCCTTCCATCCAGCAGGAACGTTGCCTGGCAGCCTTAGGGCCCAAGCCGGTTCTGAGAACAGCAGAACCTGCAGGTGGAGTTTGACCCACCTGGAGGTTCTACAGGGGTTAAAGGTCAAAGCGTCTCACCCTGGTTCCTCGGGGGTTCATGACCTTGGGGTTCTTGGAGAAGTGCATCTGGATGCTGCCATCGTCGCCAACGGTAACCGCCAGCTTCTTCAGGGTCTGGTTGCCGCAGTGAGGGCAGAACGCTTTGCTCATGTTGCTGGTTGTCCTGGAAACCAAACCGGAAACCGAACCGGGTCAGGCGGGCACACACCCGGCCCGCAGGCGGTTCTGCAACGACTTACCTGAAGCAGGCGTGGCACCGCAGGATGTAGCTGCGGGCGCGGCGGATCACCAGGCCGCCGACGGACAGAACATGGAGGCCCATCTGGATCAGAACGTTCTGGAGACAGAGATGGGTCAGAGGGCGGACCGAGCAGAACCAACCGAGCAGAACCGACAGAGACTCACTTGCATGGCGAAGTCGGTGGTCAGGCACCCCACTCTGACATCAGCCGGCTCCGTCCAATCAGACGACTCCATCTTCACCTGCCTGATGTTGCTGGGAGTGATCCAGCCATCATCATCCTCATCGTCTGATTGGTCCTCTGCCAGCCCAGGCCCCACCCTCCTCTCCTCCACCTGGGATGAGGCTCCGCCCACATCCTGTAAACTAACAGGTCAGTGGCTGCTTCCCGGAGGAATCGGGCCCAGCAGAACCTGGTTGCTGATGAAGACTCACCAGGAGGTCCAGCAGGTCCTGATCCACGCTGGGAACCGGGTCTCTCCAGAACCGGAAGCTGCTGAAGTCTTCATCTGTCTCTGAGGACGCCGGGATGTCTGGCTGTTGGACCGGCCCGGTCGGACCCTGACGGAACAGAACCAGAACCGGTTAGCACCATAGATACAGCGGATCTGTCTGCAAAACCGCCACCCACCAGCAGGTCCAGCATTTCTCCCTGGAGGCTCGGCAGCGGCTGCCTCCAGAACTGGAAGCTGTTGAACTGGTCCAGGTCCGTCCGAGTGGATGGTTCCGACTGAGTGTGTCCGGCATTCGTAACGTCCACGGTTCTCTGAAGAGACAGAAGTAAAACTCAGATTTCCAGAACCAGAACCAGAACCGGCCTTGGTCTGTACCCTGGAGGGAAGGTGGAAGCCTGCGATGTGGACCGGAGCCTCTGGGTGGCGCTGTGTGCTCTGGATGGTCACCTGGAACAGAAGAACGGGTCAGAGATCTGAACGGGTTTTACCAGTTCTAAGGGGAACTGGGCCGGTACCTTCAGGTCTGGTTCCGCCTTGAGGTTCTGCGACCCGACGTGCTCCAGCTGCAGCTGGTAGGTCAGAGCCAGAACCTTGATGTCAGTGGCGGACAGGCTGGGGTAGTCGCCCGTCTTCTTGGAGAACTCCGTTACTGAAACCGGGTCAGAACTTTACCAGAGGTTACAGATCAGAACTCTGAAACTTTACCAGAACTTCACTCTGGTTCTATTAAGACCTTTTTGCACTACAGGGTCCGGCACGGAATGGAACGGGTTCACAGTAGGGCCGAC